CACATTTGTACAAAAGTATGTATGTGCAAAAGAAGGTATGTACAAAAGTACGTATGTACAAAACTATGTATGTACAAAAGTACGTATGTACAAAAGTACGTCGGCACAAAAGTACGTGTGTACAAAAGTACGTATGCACAAAACTATGTATGTACAAAAGTATGTATGTACAACAGTACGTATGTACAATAGTACGTATGTAAAGTACGTATGTACAAAAGTACCTATGTACCAAGGTACACATGTACAAAAGTACGTATGTACAACCGTAATCAAAGTACGTATGTACAACCGTAATCAAAGTACGTATGTACAAAAGCGATCAAAGTACATATGTACAAGAGTACATATGTACAAGAGTACGTATGTACAAAAGTACGTATGTACGTATATACGCATGTACATATGTACGTATGTAGGTATGTAGGTATGTAGGTAAGCAGATAATTATGTATTCATGCATGCATGCCTGCCTGTCTAAATGTATTGTAATGTAATGTAATGTAATGCAATGTAAATGTAAATGTAAATGTAAACGTAATGTAATGTAATGCAATTAATGTAATGCAGCAATGTAATGCAACGCAATGCAATGTAATGTAATGTATGTCTGTATGTCTATTATGCCAATCTTGTATCCTGTGTTTTTCCAAGCCATCCTTCCATCGTCTCTGCCACAATTTCGCTGATTTGGGTTTCCAACAGTCCTCAAGGCGCCACCTCTCCCGACTGCTCTTGCGGTCTTGCTGCAGTCCCGTTATTCGGATAACAAACTTAGACCTCAAACCAGCAAAACGGTGCAGTGGAGGATCTACCGAGATTGTGCTAACTTTGCACGTTCTGATGAGCGGTAGATGAACTCTTCAGAGGCCTGTGAATAGCCGCAATCTCGAAAGGAATGGTTGCCAAGTTCGCAGGACCGAGCGACATGGATGACAAAGGCATTGGATGCTTTCCGGGCTCAAAGTGCGGAAACGCCGAGCTGGGATGCAGTGTCTGCTCCGCAATGCACGCCTGCAAAGTTTCAAATAGACTGAGACCGATTACACCATCGTCGACTCACGTGGACCCCAAATGCATCCAGACGCAAGACATGATTTTTACAGACATTTCGGGCTCCATGTCATCTTCTGCAGCTGCTGCCCACACAAATATATCTGGATCTTAAAGAATGAAGAAGGGACCATGACTGCGCATTACATGACACTCCACCACAAGAAGAATCACCTCGAGACAAAATCTAAGGATAGCGGGGATAGGCGAGCGCTTAAGGATACAAAGGGAGACAAAGGGAGGCACAAGTCCGAAACCAAATCGTAAAAGGATCCAATTTGTGCAAGAGCAAACAATGCCAACAAGCTGCCACAGAAAAACAGAGGAGTTTAAAGAATTGTTGAAAAAAATCACTGAGCTCATTCTAGTTTTCCCGATTGTCCGGTGTCCAGCCTGCAACCACTGTACTGTTACAAGTGGCACTTGGGCCGGCGTAGCAAATACTGGGGGCCCATTTCCCCAGCAGAGGCACATGTTGGGCTTGCCAGTCCTAGGCAGAAGTCTACAGTGTACAACATACGGACTTGCTTGCAAAATCTGGCATTTCTCAAGAGTGCACAAAGATCTGATGGTTGCAAATTTGTTTCAATTTTTGAAAGCTTTCGGACAGCTGTCGTCACTAAGGCATGCGCATCAAAGCATTGATATTGCTCCCGATTCCATGTGCGGCAGAGCCGCCGTTTGTGCCTCATCTACTGGCTAGAGCCTTCTGACCATACAAACTGTTTTGCCCACAAAGGATTCCATCAACGAGCGCTCTAGCCTCTACTGGCCCATCCAATGGCTGCTCCACAGACAGAAACAAGAGAAAGTGTGATAAAACATGATAAATGCGAGGCGAGGTGCAAATCTGCTCCACAATCTGCGCTTCCATGTCATGCGGCCAACCAGCCATCCCCAAAACCAGGCCCGTGAAGATGCCCTCCGACAAAGGCGGAGAAATATGCCTCTGACAAGGCACTGGATGACTGAGTGGACATTGCTTATTTTATGACGTTCCTCAAGCATGTGGTTTGTCGACTTGCTCAGAATATTCTCAGGATATGTTCAGTTGTGTCTTGTGACAATTTGGACTATGAGGGTGCTTGAGTGGTGCTGAGATTGCTTGTACTTGCTTAAAGAGTCCCGAAGGGATGGGCACTTGGAACCAGAGTGCTGGATTCACATTGCGGGCCAGTGGCGGCTCCATGTCTGCCACGGGTGCAGGTACCACAGGTGGTGGATCCGATAATGCCCGCGACAGCGGGCGCCCTGCAAGAGCTGCTGTCAGCGATGGGTCTGCAACGTCTTCTGCACCAGTGCTGCGTACCTTGAGGCGCAAAAAACTTATGACAAAACTCGCACTAACCAGACCATTCCAGACTACACCAAACTACTCCAGACTTTTGAAAATATGGTCCAAGGTCCTGGCGCAACATCACTGTTGTGATTTATAGAAAAACAATTT